ACAAATGTGCATTGACCAGGGAAGGGTTCACAGGATCCATACAAGAAGCAGCCAGGAGGCTGAAGCTGTTGGGTTTTCCACTGGATAGTCACTATTCTTGTTCCTATTTTATAAATAGCAATGACAAGGAGTGTGTGTGGAGCAGGGCCCAGCTGCCTTTGCTTCCTGATGGTGTTGAGGAAAGTCAATACTCTCGCTCCTTCTCCCTTCTAAACCACAAGCCTCAAGGTGCAAGGGAGATTCTCAGCAGGGAGCACTGACAAATCAAGATGGGGACTCTGTGAGCCACACACTTGTTGTGCTGCAGCCTAGAGCAGAGACTATTCTGCTGCAGGAAGCAGAAACTGGAGAACTGAGTGGCAGTGTCCTGGAACAGCTGAGAAGGGCAGGAGAGATTAGTCTGTCTCAGACTGGGATGTCTCTTCCCAGGTGAGAGGTGTGGAACACAACCAGCCTTGTGCTGCTGTCTGCCTGGGCTTACGCTGAACGCTGCAGCCTCAAGCCAGGGATGAGAAATGTCTACTCGACTTCTAGTGCCAAAATACAGATCAAAATTCAGGTTCTTCTGAATGTTTCTTTGCTCTGAAGAAAAAGAAGAAGAAATATAAACAAAGGAGCATGTGTATTTCCCGTCACATCTTGCCTAGTTTGCCAAAGGCTTTCGGTATTTTCCTTATGAATTCCTCGTCTCTAATCCACCAGCCTCAGTCCTCAAAGTGTTACAGACACTACTCTCTTCCTTTTCTCAGCAGACAATCATGTCTGGCAGAGCAGGAATGACTGAAAGGGACAGATTCAGCTCTCAACAAAAAACCTGGAAAACAAAGACTTCCAGCATTATGCACCTGCAGCCTCAAAAAGAACTTGTTGCTAGCAAGGCAGAATTATCCTGCTGCCATGACAAAAAGCAGCTTTTCCTGAATGCTTTACATCTCACCAGATCTACGTGACACCAGTCAAGAACAGGTCTGAAAGAAAATGTTTTCACAGAAGTCAGAGCAACGTGGTTCAATGGAGTACAATGCTTACCCCTCTTCATTGACTGGAAATTCAGCTCCAATCTCCTCCACACTCGTATTTCCTCCAGGGCTGATAGGAGAGGTAGGGCCTCAACTTAAGGTTCTCTTTCACTGCTTAGCAAGTGGAAATTTGTCCAAGTCTCATGCTACAGCCTTGCAAAGGTTCAAGCCTCTACAGACTAATTTCTTCTTGTCCGCACTAAAGGATGAAACCTTTACAAATCCACAGAACCAACATTGTCCCCTAACCTGGAACAGTTATAGCACAGCTGGGAGACCTAATTTGCAGTCTAGCCACTAAGTCTAATGGTTATACATATAACACTCATGCTGAGAACAGATTCCCAAGTTGTTGCTAACAGGTAAGTGCAATTTGAGGGGACTGTGCTTTCATTCCCTCAAATTCTAAAAGCAAGTTGTCAATCACTGTCATTCTAACTACCATTCTTTTCCACCTCTCTTTTGAAAAGTGAAAATGGTATTGTATAAAGACACACACACCTCTATCATGTTAAAACCCCTAGTCAATCTGAAAAGAGACAGCACAGCCTATGAAATCAATGCCCATTGTCTTTTTCAAGCACACTCTAATCCCAGAAAGCCTCCTGTCAAATTGCACTCTGTTTCCAAACTGTGTTTTTCTCATTCTCGTTTAAGGAAGCGTTTTAGCCTCAGTTATCCCTGTTTGTAACAGCCCACTTGTCCCTCTCACATGCAAACTCCTTCAGTAATCACCACAAACTGGGGAACAAACTCAGCTTCTAAAGCAGCAGGAGACAGTCAGGCAGGGTTGCAATTATCCCTGGGAACTGCTGTTACTGCCTTTCATACATCACCGAGGGTGCCATGAACGGAAAGATCCCATTATTTTCTCCAGCTAAGTTGAAGTTGGCAACTACAGAGTGAACAGACAAAGCACAGCTGCCTTCCCTAGGGTGCCCATCACTGCATGAAGTATAACCACAAAATGCAGTGGACTGGTGTTCCATGGAAGCACTCTTTGCATCCCAGGAATATTCAGCCAACAAGCAATGTATCACAAAAGGGTGTTACAAAGGATTTAAATTGTGAAAGGACTGAAACCACCATGTTTATCGGTGCTGTTTTAGTCTGTGAACACCCACCCCTGGACTACTTTATGCTCAAGAACCTGGACATAATCTATTTTCTTGACAACTCATTTGGTTTTCTTGGCTCTCCATTTCAGTTCTTTCTGTCAGGTACCAGGTTCTCAGCACATTGCTATGGTTATTTTAGGGTATGTCCTTCACCTCACTCATTCCTAATTTCAGTCTCACAGAGATTTGGAAGAAATAGCATCCTTTAAAAATCATGTTTGTCTGCCTTCCCAAAATTGCCACTCAGGACTTTAACATAACCACTTCTAAGCAGTACTTAATCTTACTCAAAAGACAACAAGATGTTATGAAGTGCTTTTTTAAAACTTCTCCAGTGGCCAAAAGAGATACTTAAGGCAAACTCCACATTTTGTGAAGTGCAAAATCCATGACCAATGGATTTCATATCAGGTTTTATGTTTCCAACGAAAACATTTAACGCATTCTTACTATATAAACACGTTGCAGAAACACACTAATGCTTTAAAACCTGAAACAAATCCAATTAAGCAAATAAAAGATGATCAAGTTCTTTCTGTTGTTATAAGCAAAAGGAAGTAAATAGCACAGTTCACGAAAAGGAAATCAAGCTCTTTGAAGTGAATGCCATTTCAGCAGTATGATAACAATGCCAGACCCATAATAAACACATAAGCGCTGCCATAATGCCCGTTTTCCCATCCCTGCAGACCAAGGCTGATCCATTTCACATTCCAAGTTGGGACCGGTGATTAGAACGAGACCACACTTCGCGTGCCTTGGAAACAAGGCTTTTCCCCACTGCTCAGCCTTACAAACCAAACCACGGCTGTCGCTGCGAGATTTCTCCCACCAGGCACAAACACAAGCGGTGCCCCCTCACCAGCTGTGCCTCCATCCAAGCACCAGCGCTGTCCCGGGATGCGGTGGTGGGAGCGGGAAGCCCATCCCCAAGCCCCCCTCGGCACCCCCGATGGCTCCGCGCTCCTCGCGGGCACTTACTCGCTCTGAGAGTCGCCACTGCGGGGCCCCGCCAGGACCTGGGGGACCGGCCAGGCACCTCCGTGTCAGCACCTCCTGCGCAGGGACAGCCCGCCTCGTCCCCCTCAGCGCCCGGACCCCGCGCCCGCTCCAGCTGGGGCTCTGTAAGCAGCTTATCCCGGCGATTAGCAACGCTGCCGGTCACCGGGGCTGCAGATGGCCGCGGGAAAGCCGCTCTACCCCACAGCTAATTAAAGCCGGGACCTGGCCGGGGTGAGAGCGGCTCAGCCCGGGGTGAGGCTGTACCTGTCCCGGGCAGCGCCTCAGGGCAGGCGCCATCTTCTCCCCCTTCTTCTCCTCCTCCTCACCCCGACCCCGCCACCCCTGAGGGAGTGAGGGAGGAACTTGCCCCGGTGATCCTGAGGAGCTGCCTCAGGGCACAGCAGGACCTGAAGATTTTAAGAAACAAAGCAAAAGCACCCGAATGGAGCGTTGCGCCTCTCTGGGTGAGGAGACCCCGCTGAGAAACTCCGAGAGCCCCGGGATCAGCGAGGCCATCCTCTGGCACAGCAGCTCCGTGAATCCCCTCACACCCTGCTAAATCAAGTACAAACACTCTCCTCCTCCTCCAAAGCCAGGAGAGGGGCCTGGTTTTATCACCACCTCTCTGCTTTACTCCTCAAAATAGGTATCCTTGAGGCACTGCAAACCTCGTGTAAATCCTGCCCTACTCTGCTCCCCTGAGCTCCCAGATGTGCCAAATTCTCCACAGAAAAGCACTCAGCAGGTCGGCTAGATGGGCATTTCCAGTGGAGAATGGCTGGGAAGGCCTCACTAAATATAACTCGTCGTGCAAACACCCAAAAACCACTCCATTTAAAGCAGTGATTTTCTGTTCATGGTTCATTGGTCTAGGGAAGAAAAAGCCTGAGCATTTAAATGTGTTATTCAGGGATCTGTGCTGACACTATACAGTTCTAAAGAGCTGAAAAAAACCACTAACATAAAGGCTGTGCAACTCCACAAGCCCCAGAAGTTTCTGCCTACCTGTTCTTCCTTCCCCATCTGATCACAAGAACAGACAGATTCCTATTCCTGTGCTCTGTGGCATGGCAGCTTGAAAAAAATGAATGCACAACACTCATCCTGTGAGAGTAAACACAAATATCACACTTTTGTGGCATTTACCATGTTCTTGGTCCAAGTATCAATGATGAAGGTCCAGGTACACCAGCAGGTCGCTGTAGTGCTTGTGCAGCAGAGTGGAGGAAGCATCTGCTTATGTTTAAAGTGATCAAAGTTGGGAGAAAACTGCTTGGTTTTAAAAATACAAATGGCATGGTTCTGCGGGTTAGAGCAAAGTTAACAGGTCTCTTGGTCACTGAAGAATCAACACAGCAGCAAGTCTTGTCAAGAGAAATGCAACTGTAGAATAATAGATGCAAACTTTGAAAATGAACCTGCTTCAGAAAAACACAGATCTTCCTAGAACTAGAATTCTGCCAAAGCTGACATACTCTTTTTCTTCTCTAAAAGAATCCTGTTGAAATTGGTTTGTTTATTTGTTTCTGGGATTTTGTTTGTTTTAGAATTTTACCTGAAAGCTACAGCAAGGCAGATTTATTCTGCAGAACATTAGAGTTTATGGTTTGTCACACTCTGTGGAGCTCACCCCTTCAGTGTAAATAAATCCATCTCTTCCCTTCCCCAATCCCCATTTTACTAGCCCACCTTCCCACCCACATATTTACAGGCAGTACCTTCTACTTATTGTAATAAAGCTTAGACTAAAAGCCATCAAAGCCCTGTAGAGCTCTCCCCATAATGACCCTCCCAAACTGCCTGGCTACGGCCTCAAACTCTCAGGCACATGTATATTTTCAAATGAGACATAAGTGACGAGTTTAACTTTTTCTAACACAGGAAAACTGTGTTCATTTTATAGTTTTCTTAGAAAAATGTAACATTTCAAGTTTAAGACAGGCGGCTGAAGGCAAAAGGACATCTCAAGGCACAAAGTATCTATAACCTACATTCAACAGTCATTTTAAGTATCCTGAAGGACATTCAACTTGCATAAAAGCATCAGTCAATAAAACCCAAGACCAGACACTGGGAGCACAAACACCTCCCTGGCCCAGTTAAGAACATTTTATACCAAGCCCAGCTTTGTGCAAACCACCACAGCTAACACAGGGAGTTATAAATCTTAGGAGCTCATAAATCTTAGTTAAATAACGCCATCAAAAACAGCTCTTGAGAACTCCCAGATGTTTCCTGGGAATATATCTGCATAAAAGCAGGCTAACTGTATTGTTTAAGGGCAGTCCATACGGCTTTTAAAGACAGTTTGTCCAGGGGTACTTTTAGTGGTTCCCTTACATCAAAGAGGATGCACAGTGCAAGACCTGGAAGACTGCAGAAGGTGCACCAGTCACACATACTGAGGAGGGATTGAGGAGGAAAGTACTGGGATTACAACGAGTCACAGTGCTTGACATGACACCTCCGAGATCTTCTGGACTTACTGCAGGAACCCATCTGCCCAACCTTCAGGGAGGCAAAAGAAGTATCAGATCCTGTCCCGTTTGCTCAGCAGCAGGTGTGGCTCCATGAGAACAGAGAGAGGAAGAGCAGAAGCCTTGGCTGGGCGAGGGCAGTGTCCGTTCGGGGCTCCAGGTGCCTCAGTAGGGAGGCTGGGCTGCCTTGCCCGGGGGAGGCCACTGGGGAGGTGCTTCTGACTGATCAATGGGCTCGTAGGTGCTGCGATCCTGGCCCGCACTGGTGACACCTGCATGGAGATGGAAGAGAACAAGCTTGGGAACAACACAAAAGCACAAAAACTGTATCCTCTAGGAGAAGCCAACAGCTCAGGAGCACACCACGTTAGCTGCCCTACCAGCTCCACAGCACCTGCCCTCTGTGATCCTCACTACACAGGCAGGAGGTAAAAAACTCATCCTTCCAACAAAGGGAAACTCACTGCTTTTGAGCATCTCTTCACTCCTTGCCAACTGCTCTCTTAGTAGCCACATGGCTGTGTGCAAAGCAAGACCCACAATACCCCATTGCAGCATAACAGGTTCCTGTAACAGCGTATTTCAGCAAGAGCAGTGTATGGGAGCTCATGGGAAAATGAACAGACATAGCCAGAAGCAGCAGGAACCATGGCCAGCTGACAGCATGGATTTAAAGGCATGATTCATCCCTGAACCACTCCTCCCAACAATGCAGTCTGCACACCACGGCACTAAATTTGAACCCAGCAGTGCTCCCAACTGCACTGTGAACAATTTGTCTGTACAAAATCATGTTACTGTCCAGGGGATGAGCAGGGAAAGAAGAGAGAGTGTGCATGGACAGCTCTTTATCTATGGACCAGGCACCTGTCATGGGGAGAATCACAGGTAGGCACCAAACCATATGAGGGGTTTGTTCTAAGCAGCAAGGATGCTGCCAAGCAACAAAAAGGGATTTTGTGCAGAAAGAAAATGAGCCACAGAAGACTAGGAAAAACACAGCATTGCTGGGTTCAGAAGGAAAATGCCGGGTAGCAGGGAAATGAGAGGAAATTTGTCAAGCACATTCAACACAAAACAGCACAGTTTGAAAAAATCTTGAAAATCTTGTGAGAGAAAGACAGTTCAGGAGAGGATGTGCAACTACAAAGTGTCTGAATTCCCCCCTGTGCCTGGGAGGAGACTCTCAGACAGTACCATGCCTGGTTTGGGATAGTGTGGTTGAAAAGGAGTCCTCCCAAACTCCAAGCAAAGGGGTGAACTCCTCAATGATACTTACACTTTCCATGGGATACACACATCAAATCCCAATGAGGAGCACAGTGAGCAGCTAATAAAAACTGGCAGAAACATGGCCCATAGCAAGGCACTACAGGTGACTCACAGGCCTCCTGACCCAGGTAAGACACATCTGTCTGGATTTTCACAAGCAAAGACACCCACGCTGCAATAGCAGAGAGATGCAAAGGGCACACAGTGCCCCAAGCCATGATTTCCCTCCATGGCTTCTCCTCCTCTGCAGGTATCCACCTCTTTTCACAGCAGTGTGATCTTTGCTAACACCCAAAGCAGCATGGGTGACAGCTTCCAAACACTGTAATGCAGTGACACCTCCCTTTGTCCTGCACAGCCACGGCAAACAGAGCTGTGCCAGGCTGCTGGTTTTGCCAGCATGAATTCCCACACAACAAATAATCCCTGGCAGCTGCCCAGGCATGAACTAGCACCAGGCACACTTAGTAAAGCTAAGACCCAGAACATCCAGCCACAGCCCGTGCTCTCTGGCAAGGCTGCCACACTATCATTAACAAGTGCAACCAAGAGAAAAATTAGTGTCTCCAGGCAAAGCCCCACGAGATAAACATCTGTCCCATTTTCCAGGGGAGGAGATGGAGGTCCAAACCAAATCAAGGACATGTGAGGCCCACAGAAAGCTTGGAGTTAGAAATCCAGCTGCTTTCCCTCTGGTACATAATCCAGCTAGAGGAGATACTCCCTCTACTTTTCCCCAGAAGGAAAAGAAAGGGTTGGCAAAGAAAGGACACCCAAAGGCTTCCAACATGCACACACAAATGCAAGAGGAGGAAGAGAGGAAAGGCCTCTCACAATACCATTGTGGGCAAAGTGGCTGCCAGACAAGGACTCCAGGTCTGCATGAGAAGAGAGAAAGAATATAAATTTAAGTCCAAAGACACACCAGAACCAAAAAATGGGAGAACAGACACGAGCAAGAGAGAGTAAGCACCCCACTGAAAGAGGGGCAGAATCCTGCTGCACAGGGCTCAGGCTGAAGGGCCCAAAGAGCAAGGCAGACCCCTCAGCACCCGAGGAGAGGGCCCACACTGACAGGGGAGCAGAGGAAACATCCTACCTATGTTAAAGGTGTACTCTCCTCCACGCTCCCGGTACATCCGATACACCAAATAGCAGGCCAGGGGTTTGAGGAGGAGGCTGAAGATGGCCATGCCCACACTGAAACGGGTCGTATCGCCGAGATGGTCATGTGTGGGGTAGAAGACAGAGATGTGAATGATGTCTGTGAGCACTGTGAGCAGCAGGCCAGTCAGGAACTGGAACAAGGAGAGAGAATGGGACATGAGCTGAACAGGGGTTTAACCCCTACTAGTAACAGTCTGTGCCAGAATCTATTTTCTGCGAGATCTGTGTTCACACAGTCATCCCTCACCCCAGTATCACACATGGCTAACTCCTTGACACTGCCCCAGGTAGAGAGATACTCCTACATGAATGGTCTTGTATTTTGTGCATTTTCTTCACATCTGTCATATAGCTTCTCATAAGGTATTCCAGAATTGTCTAATTTTGTTTGCCAATCTCTTTAATGTTCAGAGAAGGGTTTTATAAAGCCCCTCCACTCAAGCATATTAAACACTTTGAATCCTCCTCTGGCATTACAAGTCACAACAGCAGGTAAAAAAAAGCAAGAATCGTGTATGTTCATCTCTGAGAAGAAAAATAATTGATACTGAATGCTTCTCACCATGGTTTACAGAGCTTATAGATTCATACACTCTGAAAAAAAACAAACCCACCCAAACAGGGAATTGACTTGTTCACTGCTGTACTGGGAACAGCTGAAAATTATCACTGGCTCAAAGACTCTGCCCTCCACCCTCTCCCTGAGCAGCCTGGGGGAGGCCAATACCCTCACACTCACCATTGCGATGGCATCGAGGGAATCTCGCTGCACAATGGCCCAGATCCCCACTGCAAGGACACTGAAATTTCCCCAGGCATAGGAGGCTGGCAAGATGTGATTCATGCATCCCCTGCCAAACAAGACAAAAAAACCCAGACCAAATTCACAATTAGCCTGCAACAGTCTGTGTTCATCTCTGTTCCCACACAAACACTTCACTCATAGGTTTAGGATGTTCTTGCACACAGGCAGACACAGAATGCTGATTCCCCAAGAATGTCCCATTCCTAGTTTGAAGGAATACCCTCTTCTCACCCAGACCAGGCACCAATCACTCACCACACTGTGAGCAGCCAGTGCACCAGAATGATGGCCTATGGAAAAAAAACAGAGAGGAAGACAGGTCAGTAAGTTGGGGAACCCTGGGAGGTTCCACATGAAATGACACAATCTTGTCTGGAAGAGAGCCCTGGAGCCATGAACCAGTGCAGAAAGCCGGTGAGGCAACTGGGACAGTGAAGACAAAACCATTTTTCTCCACTTCTGTTGCTGAGAATTTCCTGTGGCGCTGCACTGCAGTCGTTCATTCTTGTTGTCATGTCTGCTGACAGCCGATTCAGGGCCCACTTAGTCTTTTTCTAAATGGGTTATTGATTTTGGAACTCCAGAAGAGTTTGCACAGACAGCCAGGCAATCTGACTCACTACGCTAGCACAGTTTATACATGACCAATCTGGCATCCCATCACCAAGAAGTCCATGGATAGTTGAGCCTGCAGCTCCCAGAATTTCACTCCACTCCTCAGTAAATCCTCCTTTTACCTCCTTCCAGTCTGTTCAGAGCAGTGGTTCAACCTCACTGCAGTGTTAGCAGACCTGAAGGTATCTTCCAGGACTCCGAGAACCTGATCCTGCCACAGCACACAGCTCTTCTCACTCCTGATGAAGCCACCGGGCCCGAATGCCAACAGTGCTCTAAACAGCAATAAGATAATGCTGTCACAAATTCTGTACTTTGCACATGTCCCTAATGATCCTGATCCTTGTGCTCAAGGGGACAAATCCAAGAAGAAAGGACTATACTGTAACAAGTGACACAAGGATTCTCTTCACCAGCACCTTCCATTTCTGTAACCAAGGAGACATACTCTTCCATTTCTGTAACCAAAGAGACATACTCTGAATAAACAAACTCATGTTTATTCAGACAGCAAAAGGGAACAACATTATATCACTTCAGGCTTTTTCTGTATCTATATCCATGTGCTCACTCCTTCAGAGCCTGCTGGCCAATCCAGCAAAGGGAGGTCTCTCATATTCACTCTCTAAACATTTGTGAAAACAACAATATGGAACATGAGCTCTGTTAGCAGCTCTCAACAAAGAAAGGCTGAAGCCTGGACAAATCAGAGGACCCATGGGATACAGAGAATCTTCCATAGTTACAACCCCCATAGTTAAAAAACCCCTCTGAAGCACACTTCCACCAAAAAAGGTGAAAAAGAAAGCTTGAAATGAGGAAGTGACAAAAGCCTAAGTTACTCAGTGGACACAGGAAAGCTGTATGCAGATAGGAGCACTGAGACACTAAAAAAATAATAATTAAGATCTACTGACATCCTGCCACATCCCTTGACTTAAAACATCTACCCACACTCCACCTTACAACAAAACTAGCTGCTCGAGGAGAGAGTGATCTGTGAAGCTGAGACGCAAGTGAAGCCCAGCCAGGAAACCTCTGGGGGTGACCCCATTGCTGTGGCTCACACTGCTCTGCCACGACACAATACAAATCTCTGTCTTCTGCTCTTCCTTCCCTGCAGTGCCCCAGCACAGCTGCTGAGTGAGCACTCACCAGACTTTGCTGTAACTTCAAACGCGGCTCAGACAGATTTTTATTAATTAATTTTTTTTAATTGTTCATGAAAGCTTACAAAATGCTTCACCACCACCCCCCCCACTTCCCCTTCTCCCAAATTGCACCAGGGAGACCACGGAGAAGCTGCTAATCAGTAAAATACAAGATGTTCTCGGATAAGAATGGAGACATGCAAATAGCATTTACTCAAGAGACTATCACAACATCAGGGAAATTCTTAATTAGGTAGTATTTAATTGCATGTCACATACCCAGAAGACCCCTCAAGGCTCACCAGTTAACATAATCAGGCAAGGTGTTTTTTTTCTTTAAAGCTGTCTAGATCAATATTGCCGTTATTAAATTATGAAGTATGTTTAGTCATCAGCATGAAGTCAGGTAATCTAAGGCTGATAGTATGAGGGACTGCTGAAATAAAAACAAGATATTCCCTTCCTGGTTATTAGTCCAATTTACATGACAGCTGGAATTAGCTGGTGGTCTTGGTATGCTTTAACATAGAAAATATAGTGTTAATGAAAAGCTACAGTCACCACGTGAGATTAGATAATTTGTAGGCAGTCTCCTGATAAGACAGCAAGAGAATTTAATTTTTTTCCATCTGTTCAAGGACTTAAGTCTGTACCTAAGACAGACATACATTTCTTCTTTTGAGAAAATAATTCCTAAGACTTGAACTAGGGCTGAGAGCAGAAAATAAGAAAGGTGGGTCCTTTGTCCGCATCCCTTCTGTGCAGAAGGATGACAATGTGATTAAAAGCATCCCATTGGAAAGTGGGGAGAACTAAGGGGAATTCCTAGCTCCTCTGCAAATCCCAGCATGTGATGGAACTAATTGCCAAGCATAAAAAGAGACTGGGTCTGCCTGGGTCTCATTAGATGGGAAACTCTTTGGAACAGGAATTCTTTTAAACATGCTTCAGCACAGACCACAGCACAACGTTGAATTTTGACTAAGTTAAAATTTACATGGTTCCAAATTATAATTATTTTCTTGCTGTATCTAAATTTTTATTTTACTTTTTTTTTTATTTTAGAGTGAGCTCATCTACCCTGTGAGTGACATATTCACCTGAAAACATACTACCCAAAATATAGGTATGAGTGGCCACCTGTGAGGATGCTGCTCATTATTATACCAGAGGGATAATGAGAGTGGTTAGGCAGTGGGACAGGCCATCCAACAGGGTTGTTGTGGCTCTGTTCTTAGAGAGTTTTAAAACTCAGCTGAATTTTGAGTTGAGCTATTTGATCTAACTTTGCAGTTCGCTTTTCTTTGAGCAGGAGGTTGAACAGAGGTCTCTTATTATTCTGTGATTCTGTGACCTAGCATTTAAAAATGCCTAAGCACAAAATGTGTGTTTCCAGGCACATGGATTGTAGGGCATTGTCCAGGCTTGATCAAAGTCAAACTCTGTATTTTCAGGCTCTCCATAATTATTGCAATGATCCCAGGTGTCAAGTTTTCATGGCAAAAGTAGGGCTGTGCTGCTTCCCACATGTTTTGCTGAGTGTTAGTTAGAACAGAGCACGTTCCTCATCCACTCTAGGGCAAAGCCTGCTACATTAATTTTATAGCTCTGCAAGTAGCTTAAAGAGAGGCCTCAAGGCTGAGATATTGCTACATTCTGGCACAAACACAGCCCGGTCATGCAGTTTTCTTGGAGCTACTTCTATCACGAGGCTCATCTTTCTAATCTCACAGAACCCGTGAGCAGATCATGCCAATGAATAGTAGCAGTGTGTGTTATTTCCAGGCCCTTTCTTAGTAAGAATCTTTCCCACCTTCGTGGTGTTTTTCAGGGAATCAGGCCCTAACTCGGGAACAGTACAAAGATGCAGGTATGATTATTAACTCCCTATTCCCCAGCTCTTCAGCTCCAGAGTTGCCAAACTCAACAACAAGGAATTTCTTAATGCTGAAAACAGTTTGCCCAGGAGAAGCTCACTCTTATCTAGTCAGAGATTGGGAAATGCTTGCCTGAAACCAGAGAAGAAAGGCAACGTTTTAGTTGTGTTGTCTCAGTGACTCACTAATTGAAAGGCCGTGGTTTTCAGCTCCCCTATCTCCACCTCCCATGGTAGAACACCTATTTTGTGTTGGCAAACCTTTTAAATGCAATGTCCTTACTTTTAACTGTTGTTTTAGCATGGGAAAAAAATAATCAAACCAAGTTAAAAGACAAAGCAGAAGGCAAGATCTTTAATCTTCCTAGCGCCCTGGGAATCACACAATAGTCCAAACTTGTCAGAGCAAAGTATCAGCAAGTCCCCAGAATGTAATATAATCCACATGCCAGGCCTTGAAAAATCCATTTGCTTACTTGCCTCTAACAAGGGAAGTTGCTTTTCTTGGTGAACTAGTAAGAGGGGGGAGAAAATATCATTGTATGAACACCAAGCTTTTATTTATCACAGCCACATGAAAGCCCTCCTGTCCAAAGCTGAATTCATAATGGGAGCTGAGATAATACTCTCCCCACACCCAACCCGTAGGCAACCTGCTCCACGGCCACTGCTCACAGCTTAAAAAAACCTGATGTGATCAGCTTTCACTCTCTGGGCAAAGCTTTAACCACAGAAAGCGCCTCAAACTTGCTGTACTAAACAAGTTACACAAAGTAGTGAAGCTGGAAAAGGGCACACTCACCCAGAAATCTCAGAGCTTTGAAAATGTGAAAGACAAAAAAAAAAAAATAGAGGAAAATGTCACCTGTCTGGTAGCACGGAAGGCTTTGATATCAAACACCCACATCAAAAGCAAAAAAAGTGTGATTTTAGCATCCTCCAGCTTGTCCTGAAGGATGTGCTTCTCCCCACAGTGAAAAATGTAACATAACCGTGGTTAAGTCTCTTATTTCTCCTTTCTCTGGTTATCAGATATTCCCTGAAATTTCCAAATTGCCCTCAACTGGAGCCTCCCCTCCCCAACAGAGAAGCAATTTCAGTTATCTACAAGATGATAACCTCAAAGTAAGCAGACTCATCTTTCTAAGATACTTTGCCTGACAAGCAAAAACTTTGCGTGCTCAAGATCTCCTACAGTGTTTTATCTTGGCTTAACTCTGGTCAGCTGAGCTGGAAACCTCGAGGGACACTGGTTAAGAGCTGTTGTTGCCACTCTGACAATGTCCCTGAAGTCCGAGTGAACCTTGGAGTCATCACCTGACGGGTTTAGTGACCAAGACTCACAGAATATCCCGAGCTGGAAGGGACCCATCAGGATCGAGTCCAACTCCTGGCCCTGCCCAGGACACCCCAACAATCCCACCCTGTCCCTGAAGAGCGTTGTCCAAACACTCTGTTGAGCTCTGTTAGGCTGAGGGCCGTGCCCACTGCCCTGGGGAGCCTGTTCAGAGCCCAACCACCCTCCGGGGGAAGAACTTTTTCCTGAGATCCAACCTGACCCTGCCCTGACTCAGCTTCGTGCCGTTCAGAACTTCTGCTGCGTTTGCCCACGTGATGAAAAAAAGCCTCCAAACACCACTTCTTCCTCCTCAGAGGCCTCCACAGCTCCGAGCAGGGCCTCGGCCGGGCTCTGGACCAGGCGCAAGGCTGGAGATATGGCAGAGGAGAGGGGGGACCGCACCAAGCGCCCCGTCCCCGGGACGCCGCCCGCGCCCCGCGGCTCAGCCCCCCCGGCAATCCCCCCGGCAATCCCCCCGCTCCTCCCGGCCCCGGGGGCGGCCGGAGCGGACCCTCCCCGCCGCAGCAGCCCCTACCTTGAGGCTGACGGCCGGCAGCTCCATGGCAGCGGCCCCGGGACTGCCGGCGGGGCCGCTCACGTGGGGCTGGGCCGGGCCGGGAGGGCGAGGGGCGGGCGGAGCCGGGACACCGCCCCCGCCGTGCCCTCGGTCACAGGGGCCGGGCCCGGCGGGCCTGCAGAGGCTGGGGGCCGGCTGGTGGATCTTGTCGGGCGGGTTCCAGCGGAGGAGCTGGTCTGGGGGCTCTGCCTGCCTGATGTGTATCGCACAGCTTCTGACCTCGTTAATGCATAGAAATATCTCAAAGGCGTGTCAGAGGATGGTGCCAGACTCTTTCCAGTGATGCTCAGCGACGGAATGAGAAGCAATGGCCATAAATTAAAACACAACAAGTTTCACCTCAACACCTCAACTTCTTTACGTGCAGGGTGGCAGAGCACTGGAACAGCTGCCCAGGGAGGTCGTGGAGTTTCCCTCCCTGGAGACATTCAAACTCACCTGGACACGTTCCTGTGTCACCTGCTCCAGATGACCCTGCCTTGGCAGGGAGATGGACTGGATGATCTCCAGAAGTCCCTTCCAACCCCAACAATTCTGTGATTCTGTTTCCAAAGCCACCACTAAGTTAAAAGTGTACACAGATTAGTTTGTTGACTCCAAACACTCAGCCAAACTCTTCCTGCTGCTCACACGCGCCATACAGTGAGGGAAGGTTTGACATCACACTTGGGCTGTAATCAGTGTCCAGGAGGCCTAAGGCCTGTATAGAACTTAACAGCTTTCTGCAGGAAGAGAAGACTTTTGTGCACACATCAGTGCTGTGACCAAAAAGCGAGGAGTGCCAAAAAAACTGTTGATAGACACCAATAATAAGGCAATTTCAGGGTGCTGAATGTGCTCAGCTGTGTTGCCCAATAGCCAAGCCAAGTTCAGGTCAGTGTTTGGGGTTGTGCCAGGTGCCTAGAATGGTTGGCAGGTACTTAGTGGCTTCCTTTGGCCCTAGATTTTTTTCTAGAACTAGATGACTGAACTCTAGTCTGAAGGTCTAGTACAAATCGCAAGTTCTTCATTTCTCATTCTGAAAGAAAACTTGTTCCATTTTAAAGCTAGGGCAGTTGGTAAGTGACCAACCCAACCCCACACAGTTCAAGTATAACTTCCCATTCCTTGTCCAGTTCATACCAGCAGCCCTAAGTATGGCAGATGAACTAACAGAACCCAAAAGCCAGGATGACACCTCTCAAACCCTCCCTTCCTTGCCCAATATGTGCTTTACTTGTCTGCAGTGTAAGACTGCAATGTCTGACTAGGTCAGTTCCTTTCTTGTCATTTCTTAAGGAAAAGATGGGGCCTCTAAGGGATGAGCAGGGTCAGGGGTTCATTGCAGGGCTGTATGTGGAAATTCATGAGTCATCCTTCAGTCCCATTTCCAGTTCAAGCAAGAGTATGCATGAGAATCATGCAGTGCTGAACTTGCCCTCAGACATTCTTAAGCAAGCCACAACTGTAGCTCTATCCAGCTTGTCCTTCACCATGCCCTGAATGCTGCTGACTGCTTGTGTGCAGCATGCTTCCAGATCTCCCAAGGCATTAATTGCCAAAATGAAACAACCTAGAAGATGCTAACCAGAGGAAGCATCAGAACAAAACTGACTGTCTGCATAGCTCAGAACAGCAGTAAAAAACCAAAAGTCCCCTGAGGAATCTCTGAATGTGTCACTTTCAAATGAAAGATTGAAATATAATTCATTTATTGCCACATGACACATCAGCTGTGACTTCATTTCCATTACTGTGTCTTTCGGGGACACGTTTCTGTGTCTTGTAGGGAAGTCTTGCCTCTATTCACAGAAGTAGTGGCATCAAATGTGATCAATGCTAGTGGTTCCAGTAATGTCAAGGACAAGGTTTACCCCCCAAAAAAAGATGGTGTTTACCCTAAAAAAAGATTGGACACCTGGAGTGGGGGCAAGGATAAAGAGAGACTGAATAGCCATTTTGCTGGCTTAGTATTGGGTGTGAAGTGCACTGGGATGCCCTTCTGCCAGGACAGGTATCTGTCAAAGGAGAACTGTTTGCTATAAAGGCAAATCCCACTGTCCCAGCTGAATGATAAGCACTGTTTGGATGCAGCAGTGTGTGGGTGTCTTTGCTCCCTTCAGCATTCTCACTCAGTCTGAGTGAGACAGTCTCATTATCATTTATGCAGCCTGAGCCATAATTGGGATTGATGTGACCGCTGTTTAACGCAAAGCATTCCTTTCCCCTTGTAGAATAAAAGCACTTTACTTCATTTTGTTCATCAATGTATCGTGCAATTAATTCAGCCCTGCTTATTATATCTTGGGCTTGCATGTCATGCACTCAAGGGACTTAGAAATGTCTTAATGATCTCGTGGATGTGAAAACAATGAGGGCTATGACAGACATTATGCATTTGCACGTCTCTCACACCTATGAGATCTGGGGGCTGGTTGGTTTTTATCTCTGCCTTGTGCTGCTTGTACCTTGTAAATTGTCTCTGTTCCCTTCCCCAGGCTTGATAAAGCAACACAAACATGGAGAGAAAGACAAGCCAGCAAGTTAAAGAAGAGCTGCAGGAAGAAGCAGGCAATCCAGGAGACTGGAAACAGGATATGGAGATTTTTGTGACTAGAAGACTCGTCCAGGTGAGTTCAGCTCACTGCAACTAATATCCAGCAATTAGCTGCTTTATGCCAATTGGTGATATGCCTTGTGCAGACTGAGTGAATACCTAATATACAGCTGGCTCCCTTCCTGACAGCATAAAAGTGAGGCTAATAAGGCAGAAATGCCTTCCTTTGCATTTTCAGGACACTCTACCCTTGGTGGGTAAGGTGAAGCAATTCCTCAGGGAAGTAAAGGAGTTGATACAGTTGCTCCTGCTGTCCTTACCTGGCCCATGGGAATAGAGACAAGCTCACCCCTCATAGTTCTGCCCTTCTCACCCCTCTCTTGGGGTCTGCTCAGAAGGTAACTAAAGGCTGCAGCTGACAGCAGTGTCTCAGTTGTGCCCCTGGCTATGGAGCTGAGAGCAGTGAAGGCACCAGCTCAGCACAAATACATATATTAGCCATGGAGCCTTTCTGAATAAGCAGTGAGGAAGGGCACATAGAATTTGCCTGGCTCTACAAACTCCCTTTTAAATCCCAGTGGACAATAGGCAAGCAGAAACATTACCTGGATTGGAGGGGAGACTGAAGGCATTTGTAATGCTGGTGGGGAGCCTCCTTCTGCAACTTCACTGCAAATGAAGCTATGGCAAGGTGATCTGGGGAGTGGAGAGGGTCACACTAATGTGGTATCTTGACAACCACACTTGAAAGTCCTTTCCAATCTCAGCAGTGAGAAGCTGCTCCTGTGATTTTCTAAAATCTAAGTAGAGCTTTGAGGTATCACTGAGGGGCTACCCTTCAAGATTCACTGACACTCTAGAAAATGAACTGACACACCAGAAGTGGGTTTATGGAGTGCATATGCTCACTCAGTACATTCCAAGAAAACAACAGCCCTCGTATTTTTTCTGATAAAAAGTATGCAAGCAATGTTTTTTCCAGGCTTTATGTAGCAGGGAGTGACTGGCATGGACGTGAACAATTTGGTGTAGCATGGGTTTGAAATGGAAGCACTTTCACACACTGTGGATTGACAACAGGGTAATTACTGGGGGAGGAAAGGAGGAGAGAGGGTTTCAATAAAACACCCCCAAGCTAAAATGAATGCAGACTCTTACAGACCTGAGACAGAATGATTCCCAAGTGTTTTAATTTGTGCTTCCACTCCTTGTCTCTCTTGCAGTCATAATTTTGAGAACTGCCAGCAACATCCCCAAGATTCAACAGCATTTGCAGAGCAGGCAGCTGCTGAGATGATTATGTCAAATCTGCACGCTGTCCTCTCTTTTCCATGTCTGATTCTCACCCTTGGAGAAGTGATTTAAAATGATGTGTAACCCTTGGACTGGCTGGTAACAGCAGTAGCTGTAGAGCAGGAGTTTGTGTGGTACTCTGTCACTCCTCTCTCTTGCATGCTCTGCAATTAGCTTTAAAAATTATTGCACAGAGCCCTGCTATGGCTGGTCTGGGCCCAATCCAAACTCCTTTCAGGACAATAGAAAATCTTGCAAGAGCTCTGGCTTAAAATCTCTGGGGGCAGTAGAGAAGCTGGGCTTGTGTGAATTCCTAATTTGAGTTTCTCAAGCAATCAGTTGAGAAGAACATATAAATCAAGACTTGCTTCGTGTTTGTGTCCCTCTCTCGTTCAGACCTAATGCTCCCCACAGGCAGAACTGTCACTGACTGCAGTGTGACTGGGACATACTGGGAAAGAAGGGGAAAGTTGCTGAGCGTAACCCAGAGATAGTATCGCTCTGCAGCTGCCGTCGTGCCCTTGAGACAGCACAGAGCGGCACTAAAAAGCTTTGCTACACTCACAAGTGGGTTGGACTGGTTGTACAAATGTTGCCCTGTGGTTTTACATCACAGGCTGCTCTTGCATTCCACACCTTGGCATGTTATTTACTCAACAGCTTTCCTTTGCTCTGCAATTGCGAAGTCAGTGGTTGATGTGGCTGATCCATAATTCAGGCTGATTCCTTTCACGCTGCTGTGGCTGTGCAGCACGTGCCTGGCCCACTGCTCACCCTCCCCGCCCCACCTCTGCAACACCACAGCTTCAGTCAGAGGGAATGAGGTTTGGTCACGGGCTCTCTTTCTGAAACTCCACCGTGAGCAATAAATCCAGTAATCCCATGATTTGATGGGCAATAACTAACTCAATTTTCACTGACCTTACACATTTAACTAATCCCACCAATTAAGAATAATCTGTTCTTTATATTCAGAGTTAATAGCAGACTGAAAGCTGAAAAAGCAAGAGCGGACGGAACAAGTCTCCTTTTGGCATCTAAAAGCTCTGGCTTAAAATTCAGACTTGCTGTTTAAGCCTGCTTGTAGTTGGATTTGCACCAAAGTCTTGACCAAAACACTGTCCACGATCCTACAAGGATTCAGTGTGTAGTGTAAGGGGCAAGGAATACCTGAATCACCAAGGATAAAGACCCTGCAAAATTTCCTGCTTCC